TATAGAAGCAGCATGAGTACTTGGTTGACTGCTAGCACCTTTGATTGTTCTGATATGGGTCTTTTATTACAGCTAGGGACTGTGTAGAATAGTGAAATGCCCCAGACAAATGTGCCACAGGGAAGAAAACATATGGCATGTGATGTAGGAGTGTCAGTTTGCTCGAACAGTCTGGGTGAAGGCAGAGAAACTCCTACAATGGCTGGGTGCTAAAAGCCAACTTACACTAGAAGTGGTTCTGTGCAGACTATGGGGCAGGACTCAGAGGAAGGACAGACGAAGAGTATGAGAAGTTGTAGTGAGCTTTCATGTAGAATTGTGGAAGGAAAGAAATGTACTAGTCTTGAAACAGGTAGAACTTTCTGCAGAAGGTACCTTGCATTTGGGCTTGAGTGATCTAAGATGGTGTTGTTGGAGAGACACAAGAGAATTAGGTAAGGTGCAGGCAATAGATTTATGGAAAAGAGAAGAATGGAAATACCTAATAGATCTAGGAGTATGAAAAAAAAAATGATGCGATCTAAGATAGGCTATGGCTGCAGGCTGGGGGTTGGCTAGGGAAAAGGGAGCAGAGGGGCTAAGACAAGACAGAAGGGATAAGGTGTGATACACATTAATAGACAAGCCTGGAAGGCAATAGGGAATAACACGATATTAGGAAACAAAACTGTCCAGGCCCCTGAATTAATGAGAATTTGGGGAGGGAGGGAATCATTGGATAAAGTAAAAATGTTCTATGGTTTTGTTGATTTTATTTGTTGAAGTTTTGGAAGTGGTTGGAAGTATGTTTTAATTTTTGATATTTTATTGTTTCACTGCTCATTTTCCTAAAACAGCATAGTGAAGTCCTGACCCTTGACTTTGAGTACTATGATCATTTATTATTATAATAATAATAATAATAATTAGTTCATTGCGGGATGTATATCATGAAGGTTTTTTTTTTTAAAAAAGGAAATATTTTAGTCTGAACACTCTTCCTGACATGAGGATGGCTTTTTCATCCACTTGGTAGAGACAAATCTTCCTTCACTTCAACAATATCCATTAGACTGATTGTTTTGGTCTTAGAATGAAAACCTGGCCCAAATGAATTCAATGTCCAAATGCACTGTCTTCTTACTAATACCTTATAGAATATTACAATAACATTGCATTATTTATATAAGTAAACACATTCATTTACCATGTCCATACAACTAATGGTTGTTATTCTGAAGTATTATTCTGTTTAGGCTCATATATTCTCCAGGTGGCAGAAGACCTCCCTGAAAAAAAATCTCAATTATCTGGCTTACAGAAACCATCATATCTCAAAGCTTAGTGAGTTGGCAGAATGATTGTAAGATTGATCAAGCATACCACACTGTAAATTGTGTTGTATGGGCTCCCACTGAGAATACAAACACCTAGGACAAAGATATTGATAGCTATTCTAAAAAATGTTCAGAAACATGGATGAATTACAACTTCACACACATTCCTCTATATCAGTCAGATAGTGCCCAGACTGGAGCAACCTATATTTATACTGATTTAGTAGAGACCCTAGAGTCCATGTATGCAGTGTGGCCACATCCACACAAGTGTGGACATTTGGTTCCTGGGAACAACTAGCAGTGACCATGGCTCCAGCCAGCCAGGTTCTGCTGGGGTTTTTTGTTTTTGTGCTGATATCCAGGGATCAAACCCTCCCCTCCCCCCTCCCCCCTGCACTCTGCTTTCTTGCAGCACAAAAAAAATAAAATAAAATAAAATAAAAAGCAGAGCTGGGCATGTGGAGGCAGCATGGACTACTCAAAACTGAAATCTGGCCAGCCGGAACCACACTCTGGCTGCTGGTCAGGCTCTGAGCAGCAGGACTGCCACTGCTGCAACCCAAGGAGGCCCCTATAGCCCTGGGTAAGACTGCTGGGCCCATCCCAGTGCTGACCCCAGCCTACCCTACCTCACCCAGGACAATCTGCCATGCGCAGAGAGCACATGGCACAGGCATTCCCCTAGAACAGCTAGCAGTGGCACAATGTGGGAACCAAATGTCCATTGCTTAGGTGGACATGGTCTATGAGTGCCTAGGTAGCTTTTGCACCACACTTACTGGTATCCATCTGAAGAGCACATGCAGAGGTTGTGCACGGAGCTAGTAAAAGGAACCCAAAAGATAGGGTTGTCAAGCCACTTGACTTACCTTTCAAGTGATCTTAATTGACTTCGTTGTTTCTGGATAATGTAGAAATAGAACTAGCTTCACTTTCACTTTCCTCCCACAGATCACAACCTTGACAGGGCAGAGAGACTTGAGTGAAACAATGTTGCCACTTCCTGTGCCTGGGAAGTCTTTAGACAAGTTCATCAAATTGGTGTAAAACCTTTGAAAACTCATGGCAATTGGGAGAGGTCCTGGATGATTGGAAAAGGGCAAACATAATGCCCATGTTTAAGAAAGGGAAAAAGGATGATCCCAGGAACTACATACCGTTTAGTCTCACCTGAGTCCCTAGAAAAATCACGGAGCAGATCCAATTAATTTCTAAGCACTTGGAGGAAAAAGAGGTGATTAGGGCAAGTCATGCCTGACCAACCTGAATGCCTTTTATGATGAGATGACTGGCTTCGTGGATGTGGGCAGACCAATGGATGTGGTGTACGTTGATTTTAGCAAGGCTTTTGAGAAGGTCTCCCACAACAGTCTCACAGGCAAGCTAAGGACGTATGGGCTGGATGAATGGACTTTACAGTGGACAGAAAACTAGCTGGCATGTGAGGCTCAGAGAGTAGTAATCAACAGGGATCCTGGTTTTCTTTGATAAAAAAATCCCCAATTTCTGGATTTAAGAAGTAACCGAAAATCCACATTTTTCCATGACTAAAATGAAATACCACTATATATTTATCTATCTATTAGTGGTGTTTCCTTTTAATCATTGAAAAATGTGGATTTGGGTTTTTTTTTAAATCCAAATATTGGTGATTTTTTTCTGTATCAGATAAAACCAGGATTTTTGGTAATCAATAGCTCAATGTCTACTTGGCAGCCAGTACCATTAAAAATGAACTTGGTTGTGTGTTTGCTAGAGGCATTTGTACCAGCAATACACTGTTCATATAGCTGACAATCCTTATGTGATAGAATTTTTTTTTTTTAAATGGCGTCCAATTTACAAAGTTCCAGGCAAAAAACAGTTTGAGGGAAGTCTCCTAAATGTTGACCTCTCCAGCAACTGATGATGATTATAAGGGTATTATCAACTTCATGGTAACAACTCCAAAGCGAGTTGTTTCAATGTACAACTGAGCATGACCACATGGCCCCAATATATTGCTAATCATTTGAAAACATAAATATAAGGTTGTTTTAACTGTGATTGGCAATACTGCTATTGTAAAAGCTGCTTAGATAGTTGATAAATGAGTATCCACACCTTTTGTGTCCTGGATATGCTGCCCATGTGATGCAACACTTTATTTGTGATGTTCAAGATCTGTCAGTTTTTTTCATTACATGCATCAAAACTGAAAGGTATTGTCATTTTTTTATTTTTTATTTTTTTAACAAATAAATACCAGTATTTCAGCATCTTTTAGACACACTCTTGAATCCACACTGAGTAAGTCTTGTGGTATTTGTTGGGCATCCTTTATTAAATTTCTCAAAGATCTTCTAACATGCAAAAAGGCACTTCAGTCAGCTTCTTTTGCAGGAGGAGTGGCCAGGTGTTACCCCTGAATAATCTGGACTGAAAGCATTGATGAGTGTGTCTTTATTTTACTACAGCTCAGTTGTTTTCATGTCCTGAATCAACTTGTCTGATGCCAAGAATGAGATTCTGATCACTAAGAACCTTATTTGAAAGCATACTGAACAAAGTCCACTAAAGTTGAAGAGAAGAAAATAATACATGAAATAATATCTCAGGAAAATCGAGCAATCTCTCCTATACTAGAGTGGCCTTTCCAAGGTCACATTTCCAAGGCCATGACTTTTCTGATCATGAATTCCATTCAGCTTTTGGCCTTATAATTACTGTTGCAAATTTTAAAGAATATAAAACGAAACAAACTTTCTACCTGAGGTTGTGAATTATGAAGTAAGAATTAGCCCATTCAGTCATAAAACAATGTGGAATGCAATCCCAGCAGTTGAATTAAAACATGCAGTAATATGGGATCCATTCAAAAACCAGAAATAGCTTCCACTCCTGGGAAGTTGGTGACCATATATTACAATTTTAAAACTAGAAACGAAAATGGAAGATTAAGCGTTAACTCAACATGCAGACAAAGATGAAAGAATACAGATGATGATGATGTAGATAAAGCTGATGGAACTAATACCAAATGAAATGTTGGTCTGCTACCTATTTAGCGTAAAAAACTGGTATTTGTTTTTATAGTTGCTACGTAAATTTTATTCTGTTTAGCTAAGGAGAAGAACTGTTTGGTCTTGAATATTGTCACATTGGGCATGTTTACACATACACTTTAATGCACAGTAGCTTATTTTACTGTGCATTAAAGCATCATGTAAAAAACATGCTATTACACTAATGCGTAGTAAAATAGGCAACTTCACATTAAGCATCATCTAAAAAAAACATTAATTTGAGCTACTGCACATTAGGGCAGCTACACTGGAGGTGGTAAATGTAATGAACATTAGGAAAAACCCATTAATGCACGTGTAGAGGCTCCCATTTATACTTATCTAATATGGTTAGTTATAACAACTTACTAACATTTTTCAGAATTGAACTTCATTGGTTCACAATGATCTTTAAGTAACTTAAAAAATATATATAATTTTCTAACCTTTTGAAGATTAAAATCTCTCTCTACTGTTCTAAGAAAATTAATTCTTAAAATACTTGACCATTAATTCATACTATATGACCCATCAGTTGCCCACGTTTTGTTTTGGGTTTTTTTGTTTTTGACCAAATTCCAAACCCTACCCAAAAAAGCTGAAAAGGAGCTGTCATATCCTTGTCACTGTTACCATTCTGCATGTACTAGTAGGTATAAGGCCAGCAAAAAAAGGATTTAACTCTGTTAAAGATGTAGCAAGGACTACTGCTGTGTATATTCCATTACAGTTCCTAGAGACATTGTGTTTGCCTGCAGCACAATACCTCTGGGACCTCCACTGGAACAGGTGTATCACAGCATAGCTCATGCAATAGATGGTTGTTTTCATACTGTGCTCTAATCCTAAAAGCCTGGAAAAAGTAGTCCTTAAGATGTTATTTTTCACCTGGCCCACTGTATCCCAAATGTCCAGAGATATCAGAAAGCAGCTGTACTTTTTCTTTCTTTCTGAGCCTTTGGATGTGATAGAGAACGAGGCACCAATAATAACAATGGGAATCTGTAAATGTGTCAGTAATTTGTATATTGTTCAATATGCATGTTCCTAAAAGTTAACCTGAAAAAATTCTCTACATATTCATGCTATACTGGGTGGATGGGTGACCCACCGATAGTGTGTGTTGGGTCCTGAAAGGAAGACAATGGGAGGACTTTGTAGATGTTTGTTAGAACTAGACTACTGATAAGCAAATGTAGGTTAAGTGACTTTAAGCACGACTATCAAAGGTTGTTTACATTCGAAATATTATCAGACTTTCACTGTGAAATGGTTATTGCTAATGTATATTGTTGTGTACCAAGGTTAACCACAGGTGCTTTTATAAAACTACTTTCTTCCCATCCATAGCTGTAAAAATGAGAAAGGAGCATAGTTCTGCTTGATGGAAGCATCCAGTATGTCTGAATTCCTTCCTAAGGAAAAAAAAAACAGTCATTAAATGGTTCTCTGGCACACTGCAATCTGTGTAATGAAGCAAAATGCCCATTTGGAGGACTGGTAGAAAGGAAAAGGAGGCGTTGCTTTATTCTGAGACCTTTGGCTCAGACAAGCTGGAAATATTAATTTTGCACCTCTTTTCATTCTTAGCTGTTAGTGGGTGTTCACATTAGGAGACCTGTAGTAATAGCTCATTATTTGTCCTTTCTATTTCCAGTAGTTATATGGAGAAGCACTGCAGCAGCCCATGTAAATGTGTTAGTTGCCTTGATCTTCAAGTACAACAAAACACCCACAAGAATGAAAATAAAAACAAGGCCTAGAGAGCTCCAATATGGAGACAACTCAAGATTTTATTTCCCCTTATGCCATGTTTGCACAGTAAAGTTACAGTGCCCAGTAAAAACACCCTCAAACACCACACACAGTCCTGGCCTCCTAGAGTGAAAGCAGTGTAGCTGGCCATGCAATCCCATTGGTAGGCTGATGGTTAATGAGCATTGCCATTTAGCTGTTCTATCTAGCATACCTGAAATGGTGTGCAGACATGACTGCATTGCATCTGATTTAGGAGGCCTTTAAACATGTTTTTGTAATCATGAAAGCACAGACAGATAGTTCAGAGCAGGGTTGTCCAATGGTGGCCCACGAGTGGTAGCAGATGGCAGAACAAAGAGTAATGGTTTCAAGTTGCAGCAAGGGAAGTTTAGGTTAAGTACTAGGAAGAAACTTCCTCATGAAAAGGGTAGTAAAGCACTGGAATGGGTTACCCAGAGAAGTGGTAAAAACCTCCAAGGGTGGAGATTCTAAGACCCTGAGATTTTAACGCCTTGGCTGGGATGATCTAGTTGGGGAAGGACCTGCTTTGAGCAGGGGGTTGGACTAGATGACCTCCTGAGGTCCCTTCAAATCCTGATTTTTTTTCTAAGACGCTATGATTCTAAGTCACATGTGATTCATCAGGGGTAAAATTGTGGCCCTTGGGCTCCTTCTCTGCTGCTACTCCCCTGCCTCTATTGCTCAGTTGCAACAGAAGGTGGGGGCTTTGGGCTCTTCCTTCTTCCTATGGCTGCTGTGTCCTGCAGCATGTAGCTGAAGGAGAAGAGGGTGAGTCCAGGCTGTGCAGGCACATGGTTCAATTAGGGAGGAGCAAGGGCCTACACAGGTTCACACTGGTATGAGGTATGACTAAAGGGACTTCTACACAGCCCAGGGTCCTGTGGCTTACTCTTTTGTGGCCTGTGTGGTATGCAGCTCCTGGCTTCATGGAGGATTTAATGACAATTTAGATGTCACTGTAGATGTCCTGTCCCCATTAATTCACTGAAATGAATAATAATTACCAAATTTTGGAGTTTTCCCTGAGGCAGCATTCAATTATGTCTCACAAGATCTGGCCTCATATACTTAGTGCAATGAAATGGTATCCTTTTTTCAGGATAATCCCGTGAATGGGTTATCACCTTTATCAAATTGCTATTTTGAATCTGAAATGTTTTATTAAATGCTTTGCTTTGAACCTACCATTCAAGTAGAGAGTCAAAAGTAGCATAGGTCAACCACTGACACAAGAGTCTTATTTTTGGATAAGTTTGGCTGAAATTAAATTCAACTGTATCCACAGTCATCTGTGTCTTGTTTTATTGACATCCCAAAGAGTGCTGACACCCAGTCAGGTCTTATAGCTCCTGAAATAGATTATCAAACCAGTTTTCCTAGCCCAGCACTACAGTTAGCTTTTGAGAGAATACAGAACACCACCATCCATTCAGCATCACAAAGCTTAGATGTCCTCATCTGATTACACTTAATAACCTGCAGGCATCATAGTTAAGCAAATTACTATCCCAATTAAGCAGCAGTTCTTGATGTTAAGTATCATTAGGTTTAATTCAGTTCCCTGGGAAATGTCCCGATTAAGGCTCTTCCCCAATTTGTTGCTGTGTAAAGTAGTAGTTGAGGAACAGAACTGAAAAGTAATAGGTTAAAGACATTTTCAATAACTTGAACATGTTCAGGTTAGCTAGTGCTGATGAAATTCATTGTGGTATGTACTTAAGAAGCTAACAGAAGTGGTATCACTTGTGATACCAGAAAAAGATGTACAGTAATCCTAAAAAAAAGTAAATTAAAAAACCCCTCTAATATAGTGCCTGTTTTCTAGAAAATAAATGGTACCTAGTAGAATGAGATATTCTTAGTTTATCTGAAATGAATTATTGTACAGTAACTACAATCCTATTCTACCCTGCTTAATTTCTCTGAAAAAAAACTGTTAATACAAAATGGTGGGTAGGGCTTCCTTCTTGCTTTTTTTGGGACTGAGTTTTAAGGCTTAGCTGATGGTATGTTACAAAAATAGGTGAATTAATGGTTTCAAGGACTTTCCAGGGTGGATTAGAATTGCACTTATATGCCTAGATTGACTTGGACACCTAATAGATGGAATAGAATCTCAAACTTAGTGTCAACCCTGACAAAGTTGCAGAAGTTTACAGTAATAGTAAAAAGTACTCTAGAAATAATATTGAGAATTGCAATGTCTTTTTTCCCTTAAAAAGGAGATTGAAAGTGCAGGGTTTTGTATCCAATAAACCAAATAGTTTAAGATGAACTGTATTGCCTTTCTTGCACTCACATCATACACACTTGGGTTATTTAAACTAGTCTATTTTAGTACTGTAAATCACAAAATATACTTAAAACTTGTTTTTATCAAATGTCTTACAAAACCTGGGCCAGGATCATCCCCCAGAAATTAGTTATGTTGTTCAGTGTTCTGTTTATCTGAGTGGGTACTTTAAGACCCTCATTTATTCATAGATTCATAGATGTTAGGGGCTGGAAGAGACCTCTCGAGATCATCAGGTCCTGCCCCCTTGCGTTTGGGCAGGAAAGACTGCTGGGGTCAGATGACCCCAGCAAGGTGGGCGTCCAGCCGTTTTTTGAAGATGGCCAGAGTAGGTGATTGTACCACCTCTGGGGGGAGTCTATTCAAGACCCTAGATACTGAAGTTGTAAAAAAGTTTTTCCTTATGTCTAATCTAAAGCGGTCTTCTAGCAATTTATGACTGTTAGTCCTAGTGTTCCCCTGGGGAGCCCTGGTGAACAGATGTTCTCCCAGTCCCTGAGATGTGCCCCTTATAGGCTGCCACCAAGACCCCTCTGAGTCCTCTCTTCTCCATGTCTCTCAGCCTCTCATTGTATGGCCTGCTCTCCAGACCTCTAACCATAGTCCAAAGGAGGGTTATGCATATCTCAAGCCTCTCCACATCCTTCCTAAAGCGTGGTGCCCAGAACTGGATGCAGTACTCCAGCCATGGCCTCATCAAGGCTGAGTAAAGTGGGAGGATGACATCCTTAGTCTTGTCTGACATGCATCAGTAGCCTGTCCAAGTCAGACTGTATCCCCAGCCTATCCTCCAGCATGACCACAGTTCCCCATAATTTGGTGTCATCTGCAAACTTTGCCAGTCTGCTTTTAATACTCAAATCCAAATCATTAATGAATATGTTAAAAAGCACTGGTCCAAATACTAAACCCTGAGGGACGCCACTGGTGACCAAGTGCTATGTTGTGGTAACTCTGGAATTACTCTAAGACTCTACTAATACATGTTTTATTTTTTTAAATATATCCATTTCTATGGCACACCATCTTCCTAATGGCAATAAAAACAAATTGTGAAAACTTTGGTAGTCTTAGTTCCTTTTTTAAGTTAGCCTCCAGAATATTTTTTGTTTTCTTCTCAAATTAATTTTTAGATAAATTGAAGAGTTTGAGTTGCTTGGTCATTCTCAAAATTCACTGTCAATGCCTTCAATTATTTACACAGAAAAAGGAAAAAAAGACTGTTTATACTAGCCACATCTACACAAGATGCTGACTGTGCAGTAGTGTCATTTGGCATGAACCATGATGCAGCACTTTTGCGCCATAGTAACAAGCTACTGCACAATCAGCATCACCTAAAAGTCATTTAGTGATGCTATTGTGCAGTAACTGCAGTTACTGTGCAGTCATGTAGTACTTGTACATGCAAGTACTACATGACTGCATAGTAACAACTGCACATTCAGCATTTTGTGTAGACACAGCCACAGTGTACTATCCAGTTAGAGACTTAGTGTATCTTCAGCTTGCGCGCCAAAAAGGGATTTGAATATTTTAAAATTATAGGTGTCTGTAGTAAGTCATCCTTGTTATGTTTGTCTTCACTTTGTCTTAAGTCTTGTTGGAAAATTAGCATTCCTAGAAAAATGGGCTGTACAGAGAATAATGGTACTTGAACCTGATGCTAAGATTACACAGTAAAAGATGTATTTCTGTAGCACATCAATGCATGCAATGGACTAGAATGCAATAATTTATCTTACATAAGAGATGTCAGTGGTTATATAAGCAAGAAACTACTTGACACTTCCAGAAACACACTGTCCAGTACCTAAGTTATAAATTCCAATGCAATTGCTGCTAGTTATAAAAATGTGAAAAGGCTGCCTGTAAAGCTACAAGTGCATTCCCTAGGAAATCTAAGCA